AAAATTCTAAAAGGAATATAATTGCAGGCCCGAAACCAGTGTTGGGGCATTCACAACTTCTGAAGGCAAGTTGTTCCACTGGTTAATTGTTCTCACTGTCAGGAAATTTCTCCTCCATTCTAAGTTGCTTCTCTCCTTGATTAGTTTCCACCTGTTGCTTCTTGTCCGACCCTCAGGTGCTTTGGAGAATAGTTTGACTCCCTCTTCTTTGTGGCAGCCCCTGAGATATTGGAACACTGCTATCATGTCTCCCCTAATCCTTCTTTTCATCAAACTAGACATACCCAGTTCCTGCAACCGTTCTTTATATATTAGTCCCCAAATCATCTTGGTTGCTATTCTCTGCACTCTTTATATCTCTATAGTTTTAACTGTGTTCCGCTCCAGATTGTTCCGATTGTAGCACAGGGCCAGTTCAACTTCCTGTCTATAGGCAGATTCATGACAGTCTACCATGGGAGAATCCTTTATCAGTAGAACGTTGTTGCACAGTTGATATTTGGGGCGGTGGGGGGGGGGAGAGAATATTGTAAATGTTATCCCGCAAATGCAATTTTAAAAAAAACAATGTGAGCTGGCCTGCTGCATTAATGCATCTCCTGGATTTGTAGGTGATGGAATGGGAGGAGCGACAACTCGATCAGTTGGTCAACTTCAACAACTGCAAGATCGACCCGGCCCCTTTCCAGCTGGTAGAACGGACGTCATTGCACAAGGTAGATTGTGGGGACCGAAGCAGAGCTGGCTGATTTATTACCGTATTTTTCGGAGTATAAGACGCACCTTTTCCCCCCTCCTAAAAGAGGGTGAAAATTTGGGCGCGTCTTATACACTGAATGCAGCCCCACCCTTTGGCCTCTGCCTCCCAGCAATTTACCTCCTTGCAGCAAACGGAGAAAATGGGGCTTGCGGAGGCAGCAATGGGCTATGGCAATCCCTGCAGCCTGAAACAGCTGATCATCGGGAGCCCCCTGCCGAAACTGAAATTGAAAGCGAAACTTGCTATTTGCTGCAAAGAGGCAAATTGCTGGGAGGCAAAGGCAGATTTTTTCTTCTTCTAATCAGGCTAAACTGAAATAGGCTGTTTGCTGCAAGGAGGTAAATCAATAACTATAAAGGCCTATCGAATGTTCACATTATTAGACCTATTTTTTGAAGACTGCTTTACCATTGTTAATCTAGACAACTTAGCAAAATGAAGAAGCTTTTTAAAATAAACGCTTGATCTGAAGAGGTCCAGTGATATTATATCTTCTTTCAAGTAGCAGAGAATAACGTATACTTCCAGAAAGCCACTTCAATTTTAACAGCCTCTGTACAAGCATAGTATGAAATGGAACACCAGAAACAGTGTATATCTTCTGTACCGTTTGCTGTTTGGTGCAAGGAGGCAAATTGCTGGGAGGCAGAGACAGATTTTTCCCCCTCTTGTTTTCCTCCCCAAAAGCTAGGTGTGCCTTATACTTCAGAGCGTCTTATACTCCGGAAAAATACAATAGGTAGTCCTCGACTTAGGGAGGCAGAGGGATGCAGAGACAGAGACTAGGTTGCATTGTAGGCATCAGTTTGCCATGGACATAGACCCGCTTCACATTGACTTGAAGATATGGTTGGAGCTTGTGGGTGCCATTGTTCTGTATGTTGTGAGGCCCAGCTGAGATGCTTCCATCTCTTCCAGACGCACACCATCTTCTCCCTCTTGGGAGTGGACCACGCTTACGTCACCAGCATCGGACGCCTGATTGGCGTGGTGACCCTCAAGGAGGTGAGTAGCACTTAGGTGACCCCAAGAATCTTGACACTTCAGAGGTTCGCGTTGATTTTGCCCAATGTCGTTCCATATCCTATTCGCGGCAAAGAAATCTTTCTTAAGGTCATCCTATATCCATGTTGTTCAATTTTGACAAGTCTAATAATATATGTGGACTTCAATTCCCAGAATTCCCCATCTCCCGCATGGGGAATGACCTATGACCTCAGTGGATCCCAAAATTTCTGTTGCTGAGTGACAGTTATTAAGTGAGTTTTGCCCTGTTTTGTGACCTTTCTTGCCACGGTTATTAAGTGAATCACTGCAGTTGTTAACTTAGCAACAAGGTTGTAAAGCACATCTGGTTTCCTCGTTGACTTAAGGTCGCAAAAGGGGATCGCCTAACCCCAGGACACTGCAACCGTCATAAATATGAGTCAGGGTCCAAATTTTGACCGTGTGACCCTGAGGGATACGGCAGCGGTCCTAAGTGTGGAAAACAATCCTAAGTCCATTTTTTTAGTGCCGTTCTAACTTCAAACAGTCGCTAAATGAACTGATACTTGAGAGACCGCCTACTGCCAATTACCTCTACACGACCTATTAGATCTCACCGGTTAGGCCTCCTCC